GGGAGATGAAGGTTGACACAGTATTATACATCTGGGAATATTTCTTCTTAATATTTGTTTTGAAGTTAAAAATTGCATCAACCCCCCCCAACCTGGCCAGTTTTATTATGCACCACTTTTTCTTACATAACATACTTTATCTTTTTGAATTTTTCTTTTTTTATGTACTACTCATATTCATTTTCAAGGGGGAAGTATGGAGAATATACTTTCTGAATCTTTAAATGTTCAGAAATGTTTTTTGCTTGCTTTTACAAGTAAACAACAAAATTGTTGCATTTCAAATTCTTGGCTTACAGCCTTGCAATCCTTTTTTCTAAAATCTCTATAAAAGCCGCTCCAATGTCTTTCAGCACTTAAGGCCACATGCTGGGTGCTAAGCTATTGTCTAAGAACTCCAAATCCAGCCTCCCTCCTCTGCTTTGTGAGGTGGGGCCAGAACTCAGTAAACATGTCTCTTTTGTCAGCTTGCTCATAGACTCTGCTCATGGGGAGTACAAGAGGAAGCAGGAAGCCTAAAGGACAGGAAAAGAAGCCGTTTCTTCTGTGTTTTGTATATCTGTTCTTTCCACCTCACCTACTCAATGGATTTGTAGTCCAGTTGTAGTACTTGATACCTGTTTCCTTTTTTTTTTTTTGCCAGCACTGCCAGAACCAGCCTTACAACATCTCCTCAGAGGTATTATACAATTACCAGCTATGCTGAGATTCCTTCTAGTTTTGAAACCCAATTCCAAATGACACCTCTTTTAAACTGCTAAATCTTAATTATTCCAACCTCGTTTCGTTGCTCCTCAAACTATTGGGGTACAGAAGATTACAGTTATTACCCCGTATTCCTCTCTTGCCTTTCTGATTCTCCAATCCCACCTAAAGGATTTTTAAAATTGAATCCTCTCTTAAAATAACTGGTCTTTCTATAAAAAAAAATAAAATAAAATAAATGACTGGTGTGTTTTCTGCTTTCCCTGTTGGGTCCTGATTGATACAGACAAGAGATGAGAATTACAAAATCAGGCTTATTCTCTCTAATTGGTAGGTAGCCTGGTTTTTATATTTTTAAATATAAAAGAATATAAGATATCTTTTCAAAAATCTAAAAGTTGAGCCAGGTGTGATGACTTATGCCTATAGGCTCAGCTACTCAGGAGGCTGAGGCAAGAGGATTGTTTGAGCCCAGGAGTTTGAGGCTGCAGGGAGCTATTATATGATTGCACCACTGCACTCCAGCCTGGGTAACAAAGGAAGATCCCAACTCGAAAAAAAACAAAATAAAGTCTTAAATTTCACCATGATAACATGGCTGTGTGTGTGTCCTGTTTCAACATTACCTCCCTGATGACTTTTAGAGGGTCTTTCCAATCTAGGCTCAGGTCAGTGTTAGTTCAAGGAAGTATTTTTGTTATTTTCTTTAACTATAAACTTATTTTTCCTAAAGATTTTTGACTTATCCTTTTAAAATACCAATTATAATTGTAACATTTGCGTTTTACCTCCATGCTTTTTTTGTACTCATATTTTTTTTTTCTTATTTTTTGCTTGGTGGTCTTGGAGAGTTTCTTCATTCTGTTTCACCTTCATCAGTATCCATTCTGCTATTCAGTACCTCTATTGAGATTTTAATTTTGTCAATCACATTCCCTCCAGCCTCAAGAAGTTGATCTTTCTTCATTATTGCTTCTTCTGATTGTAGGCTGCATTTATGCTATCAGTATAATATACTCTCAAATCTCACTAAGAACTCTAATTGTAATTTTAAAACATTTGAAACACATATTCTGTTAACTCTTTCATAGGAGTCATTTCATGTACATTCTCTGCCTAATCCTCCTGTTTTCTTACATTTCTCATGTTACTGACACTTTTCCATTGTCTGCTAATATTTCCAGACAATGATTTAGGGCATTTAGAGTATCCCTTTTAATCGCATTGGTCATTGTCTTCTGAAAATGCCCACACCTGCCCCATAAACAGGAGATTTTAAGTCCCATTGCAAAGTTAAGGTCCTAGTTCCTGTGTGTTTACCCATCAGGATAAATGTGAGGGTTAATGCTGGAGCCAGCAACTCCACAAACAAAGCTCTGTAAGGACAAATCCTTCGTCTACTTTCCACGGTGCTTCTGAGAAGAAGTGGTGCCCCTAGCCAACAGCTTCCTCCTCAGTGACTACTGGGCCTTGGGGCTTCTTCTCAGTGTAACTCCTCCTCCTCATTAGGCAGCTTTGCTAGATTTTGCTCCTCTAACCCTGGTAGCAGGTCCTCTCAGAATTATCTTCACTGAACAGTGTCCACACACTGGTGGCTCTCCAGTGCCTTCTTCTGTTTAATATATATCTTGCTGTCTGTTATACATTATTGCTGAATAATACTCTTTGGGTATGTGGTGTGCAGTTCTTAGTTTCAATAAGACTAAAATTTTCTTCTTTTATATATGTATTTTTGTTCATTTCCATGGTTTGGGAAGAGGTAAACATATGGCATGCATGCTACCGCCTTTCCAGAAGTCTTTCCATATATGATGTATACTTAAATCTCATATGGGATTTAGTAAGACAAAAATAAGCATAATTGTAAAATAGATTGCATAATTGAAAATATATTTTATGAACTCTATTAATTATCAATATGCTACTATTAAATGTATGTGTGTGTGCATATGTATCCACTCCCAACATCTTTCCTGAGCTTCTGAATACACATCTAAATGAAACTGCATGAGACTCTCAAGCTTAGTATTATCTCCATCAACACTTAGCCTAGACTTTAAAAAGGAGCTTATAGTAAGAGCTAGACTCAACACTGCCACTTTCAAAGTAGTTGGAAGAAAACTTGTTGAAGGTCTTAGCCTCTTACTCAATCACTTGTAAATTAGGGTAAGCTGGAAACAGAAGAGCATTTTTGGAATGAGCTCTGTTGTGGCAGAGGTGTGAGAGTACCTTCCTCTCATCTCAAACCTAAGGAAAGAGGCTAAGGAAGGACCACCCAGATATCCCAATTTGTATCTCTTGGAACTTTGGGAAAACAGAGGACAGGTTTCTGCTCATTTGTGACAAGAGACTGTTGAGCTAGCTTCTCTGTGTCAGAAAAATTGCCACCCTGCACATAATCTGTCCTTTTAGTGTTTGTTGGGACAAAGAATGCTTAAGTGCTTCTATGGCTCAGATGTGGGTCTCATGGGAGAGCTTTCTCTAACCAGCTGAAGAGGATAAGAGATAACCTTATCTGGAAGGATAAGGGCCCAGGCAGAAAATAGGAGTGTGAGTAGCATTGAAAAAAGAGTTGTGAGGGAATATGTATCACCTATGTCAGGGAAACCATAAATGGAACACTTAGCAATTAAATGTCATCAAGACTGAAACTACCCTGTCCCTTCCCGTTGCATTTCTGATCCCCTTTACCTTGTTCCACTTTCTTTTCATAGTATTTAGCTTCTAACTCACCATATAATTTGCATATTAATTATCTTCATTTGTTGTCTAGGCTGAAAGGTTCCTGAGGGTAGGTATCTTTGTGTGTGTTGTTCACTGAGGAACAGAACAGCACTTGGGTCATGATAGGAACTAAAGAATTATATGTTGAGTTTGGATAGGAATTAAATTGGCATCTCCAAAGAGCAATGAGACTACCCCTGAAAGTAAATACTAAACACCTTCTGTGCCCAGAGAGCCCCTGGGTGTGAGCATCATATCTAATGCGGGTCTCGCAAGACAGTCCCTGCTCTGACCTCCCCTTCCTGCTCACAACACTGGCTTACAATTCTAGAGGATAGCAGTAGCCTAGTCAGTGGGAAACCAGAAACAAAAATCCAGGGTGGAGGTCATAGAGAAGAAACTCAGCACTCTCCCAATACAGGCATCCTACCCAAGGAAAATCTGAGCTGGAATAGAAGGGTGTGTAGATTTAATTGTAAACAAAATCCAGCATTTTACCCCCAAAGCAGTGACTCATGCCTGTAACCCCAGCAATTTGGGAGGAGGAGGTGAGAGGACTGTCTGAGCTCAAGTGTTTGAGACCAACCTGGGCAACTAGGTGAAACCTCGTCTCTGCAATAATTCAAAAACATATTAGCCAGTTGTGTTGGATCACACATGCAACTGCAGCTACTTAGAAGGCAGAGGTGGAAAGATCACCTGAGCTCAGCAGGTCAAGGCTGCAGTAGCAATGATTGTGCCACTGCACTCCAGCCTGAGTGACAGAGTGAGACTCTAACTCAAAAAAAAACAAAAACAAAAAACAAACAAACAAAAAAAATTCAGAGTTTTATTATTAGAAGCATTGGACTAAACATTAAAAATTGGACAGTTTAGAAACTAGAAATAATAGGAGGAATGTTAAATTACCTAAAGTTGATTTAAAAATTTATAAAAACTGCCAAAGGTTTCATCTTGGTGCATTGAGGCCTTTGAATGAAGAGTTTTCTGATTCTATTCCACAAGTTGTCCCTGATTTGCAAACCAGATGCACTGGTATGTCAAAGGCACTTACTTTTTACTTTCTTCTCACTTGTACCACTTTCTCTACTGTCAAAATTCTGACTGTCCTTTAGGGAAAACATGAAAACATGTTTGGACCTGTTACTTCTACAATATCATGAGCAATTCAAGTCTAGGTTCTATTTCCAACAGCCTTCTTTTTCTAGCATGTAACACATTGTATAACACATATTGAGCACTTACTAACTGTTTGAAAGTGAATGAATGAATAATGATAGGGCATCTTGAGATTTAAAAGTTCTCAGAGCAGCACAAAGAACAGACTATTCATTCTGAAGCAAGTGAGATTTAAAATTAAGTAAGGAAAATGGGCACATGTAATATTGAATAAAGTTCAATTGAGTCTCTTGAATGAATGACTGTTAACATAAATAACTATGTGAATAAATGACTGCATTTATATAGGCAAGGTAGAAGATAAAATACAATTTTGTTGCTTTTTTAATTCCAAGTCAATAAAATAGATTTGTACATTTGTCTCTGTTTCATTTTATTTTATTTTATTTTAGGGGATCCTTGTCTTTGTACTAAGCATCGGGTCTCTTATAATCTATTTCATCAACTCTACTGAGTGAGTAAAATCCCCAGCCACCCTTGTCTCCCATATTAGTAAGTTGCTTGACTAATTTGGAATCTTTTTATCTGGGATACTTAATACACTTACACACACACACACACACACACACACACACACACACACACGCATTTTTAAAAAGATAAGTGATTAGATGGCCCTGGGAAGCAACAAGTTCCTCTCTGCAGAATATGCAAAAGTGTCTCCTGCATCCTGTCAGCCTCCTTTGTTAGGGGTTGGGGTGGTGTGCTCAGATCTACTCTGGAGTCTCAGGGACTCCATGCTTCCAGCTGTTCTCTCCTCACTTGGGCCACTCATGAAGACTTCATATGTCTTTAGATTTCTTAGGTGGTGAAGCAGAAGTTCTATCATAGTCAGAATTATTCAGAGATTTCAAACAATTTTGGATGGTCTTGAGAAAAAGACATACTAGTAGACCTCACCGTGATAAAGAAGCAGATTGGGGTCTCCTTTCCTCCGAAGGCATTCCCTTCTTCTACTGCAGGGTTAGGGTAGTTTTTGTTTGTTTGTTTGAACAAAGCCCAATCTAATCTATTCGATTTGCAGCTTAAATAAAATTAGGATTGCAGGGCACAAAATCCAGTCAACTTTAGAGAATCTAGGCAACTGTCATCTTTGCATTGTAAATTCCTAACAGATTTTAAAAGCGATTTTCTTTGAATTTGGTTTAAATCAATCCTTTGACCTAGTGTATATCTCTATATCAGAAGGGGACAGAAGCCAAAATATCTTGGCTGGATAGATGGTCTTGCAAACCAAGAAGAGCCGCATAATCTCCCTGGCTCAGAATCGCCATTGATAAAATGGAAATGGGACAAACAAACCCTATGAAAGAAATGGCGGTAATTTTCCCATTATTTTCAGCTCCACGGGCAGTCCAGTGATTTTGTTCATGCATTCCTCTGCTCCCGAGAGAAAAGTAATTTCCTTTAGATCTTTCCTTTAGAACTTAAGTATCTGAATTCATGGTGAATGAATAGAAAATTGCCTACCGCTTCCCTTTATTCCGTCCTATATAGACACTGCTTTTACAATGTTCATCTTTATAAACTGTCTTTGTTTATTTTCCAGCCCTGTTAGAAGCTGTTCTTCATATGAAGATAAAACCATCATTATTGATTTGGTTTTCAATAGTTTCTTTAGTTTCTACTTTGGGTTAAGAGTAAGTACCTATTGAAAGTTGGAATAAACACACAGGCAGCACAGGCGCAATATTTAGAGCCCTCAATTAGTTCTACAACCTGCCTAAGTTTTCAGGCTCTAAAGACAGATGATTTGGGCCCTAAGTTGTTAAATACATAATGAGACTTAAAAGCTCTCTCTCCTGCACTTGAAATTGTAAAACAGGTCAAACATTCCAACACAAAATGAAAATGATTTCTTTGTTAAATGTCATCATCCTGTCACTGTGACCTTCCTGCTGAGAAAGCATTGCTAATAATCACAAACTAGCAGGACTCGAGTGACAAATCTCTGGAGGTGATCTTGATTCCACAGGTGGCATAAGTGTGATATAACTATATAAAATACATATGTATTTTTGTTTCACTGTGCTATACTCAACTATTAAATAGTTGTCTCATTCCATGGCATTTATTAATAAACCATCCTAGATCTAGAGTTTAATATGTTTATTCATCTCATGTCTGTGGGAGACTGTATACATATATATATATACACATATATGTGTATGTATATATATAAACATACTATACATATATTTAAAACCTATCTTTTTAGCTGGGCATGGTAGCACGTGCCTGTAGTTCCAGCTACTTGGAAGGCTGAGGTGGAAGGTTTGCCAGAGCCTAGCAGGTTGATTCTGCTGTGGCCGGGAGCATGCCACTGTACTCCAGTCTGGGTGACAGAGTGAGACTCCAACTCAAAAAAAAAAACCCTATCTTTTATTTGTGCATATGTATTATATGTATTTCCATGCCCTTCCTTTAAAATATATTCTAACCACACTAGCCATCAAAATCTTCTTACCACTGACTCTTCTGGAAAGACTTGCTTTCTTAATCTAAATAAGGAGGCCCATAAAAAGGTCTTGGCCAGTCAAAGTTCTTGAGAGCTGTATCTTTTTTATTGACCATGCTAAATCATGTATCTTCATGGCTGACAGGTGAGGGGCGGGGTTATGTATATAACTGCATATATCAGAAAGTTCTAGGAGAAACAGAAAGGGCAGAGTGTTTATCTAGAAGTTAAGATCTGGTAAGTAAGATGGCTACATGTTCATTTATTGAACACCCACTAAAGATACAATCTCTATTAAATATATATGTATGCATATATCTATATGAATATATGTGTTTGGACATATGTAAACTAGAATAAGATCAAAGTTACAGGTTCTAAATAAAATCACTATATCTCTTGTGTTCACTTTCAAATTCTTGAGGATAACATCATTTTGGGTGTTCTGTTTCCATTTCATAGTTTGTGGCAGCTGATGACAAGCTCAAGTTCTGGTTGGAGTTGAATTCAATTGTAGACATGTTTACCATCCCACCAGTCTTTATTTCTTATTATTTAAAAAGTAATTGGCTAGGTAAGTATGCTGTGGGAATCAGTATCAGTATCTAAAAAAATAAAACTCAGCATTTATGTATAAATACCTTTCATTTTTCTTTAATGACAGTCATTAAATCTCTCACATTAAATGAATAGTTTTGTAATACAGTTACATAAGTCACTTTTTAAAAAAACCTAAGCGCCCGGCAATGCAGCTGGTACATAGTAGGTATTCAATAGTTGCTGACGGAATGTCTGTATCCACAACCTGGGAGGCAAGGCTTCAACATCTCATTCAGTTTGTGGCCCTTTTATGCTGGGATCCCACAGGGACTGAGGGAGATGAAAAGCTTCTCATGGCCTTTAAAAACTAATCATCTCCATACATGTTGTGATGTGATGGAGAATTATTCATTTAATTGTTGTATCTTAGAGGAGGGTATGTTGACAGTACATGAACATCATGTCATTTTGCCTGTTAATATTATTGTTTATTATCTATAAAATAAATACCAATTCTACTCCTTTCTATTGTTATTATCATACTACTAAAGTAAAGCACCATACAATATTGAGAAGTATATCACAGAAATTGTATAGTTAGGAGTTTAATAGGTTAGGGAAAAAATTGTTCTTAATTCTAAAGGAGAGTGAAATAGAGTGAAATGAATAGTGTTCATTATATGTGAGGCGTGTTTCTACGTGCCTTTGTGAGGCTGGTACTGTTAAAATTCCCATTTTATAGATGAAGAACTAGATAAGGTAAGGGGATTGCCTTAGATTACAACAGCTATCAAGTGTCTGGGCTAGTATTTGAACCACAGCTCATGCTTTTAAGTCTATAACATTACAATATATTACATTTTATATTTATATATTTATTATAACAAATTTACATTTTTATTACAGGGAAAAACAGAATGTGAACAATCCCAATGGTGTTCTAATGCAGACTGCTCCCAGGAGTGACTCTTCTTTTGGCAACTTTCTCTTTTCTATTGCTTTGTAGGTTTAAGATTCCTAAGAGCACTGCGACTGCTAGAACTCCCTCTAATCTTGCAGATTCTAGGGATCATGAAGACCAGGTAAATGTCTTGCTGGAAACACTCCTTATATACTACTTTGGATTAGGAACTGAACATGTTAACTGAACCTTAAATTCAATTCATTTCCCATAAGAATTCCAGTGCAAAAATCATGAAATCCCTCAGCTTCCAAAGTATTATACCCTCATTTCATTCTATTATATCATATCACACAGTGTCTGAAAACCTTGCAGTCATTTTGAAGAGTTTATTTTTCTTTGTTTTGTCCATTGTTTATAGATAGTTGATGTGTAAATCCAAATTGGTTTTTATTTTGAGTCCCTACACACATACACACACACACACCCATACATCAAGGCAATTCAGAGGCTTTGGTTCTACACATATGCTTTAATTAATTATGGGTTTCCTGGCAAGGTAACATAAAATATATATTTCTTCAAGTGTAAGAGTATAAGAGAATTTCTCTGAGCATGAGTTACCCAGTAGCAGCAATGAACTATTGCTCACAGAAATGGAGTCACCTAGATATCTCCGAACAACAACAAAATCCAAACTATTTTAAAGCAGCATTGGTTATAAAGTTTTAAGCAATTTGGTCTGTTGCTCAAAATTCCCATACCTCTACATTCTTACTAGAAGCATCGACTATTAGAAGGCAGGGTGAATTTCATTGTTAAGTGTTTTGCATTATTTAGTAGTTAAAGTAGGAAAGCCTGATCTTGTGTGATAGGTGGTCCTGCCTAAAAACCATAGAGATTTCAGCTAAATGCTAGGGCTCTACTTAGAGGCAAGAGTTCCTCTGATCCTCTTTACTTAAAAATCCTGTTATCAGTTCAGCGATATGAGCGACTACATTTCTGTGTTCTGCTCGAAATTTTATTTTGCAAAGCTACTCTCTGCATAATGCATTTTGTACCCTGGCCTTAGACAATGTAATAATCTATTAAATTTATGTTGCTCCACATATAGTGTATTTTAAAAAGTGATATAGTATCAGGCTACTGGATATCACAGCAAAATTCAAACTTTTGGAATAAATACGCATGACGGTGAGTTTTAGAACTGTGTTTCCCAAACTTTGGTGAGTATATGATTCAAGAGGATATCACAATAGTGAAGATTGGTAGTTTGGGGTCAGGGCCTGGGAGCCTGCATTTCTAAAAAGTTTCCAGGTAATGCCATCCCTTTTGGTTCATATAACAAACATTGAATAGCAAGATTTCAGAGGATAAGGTGTTTGTGTTCTGTAACCTGTCAAAGAGACCCAACAACTTTTTGTCTTTCTTCCTCTAGTAATTCAGTGAAGTTTTCCAAACTATTATCAATAATTCTCAGTACCTGGTTCACAGCTGCAGGATTCATTCACCTGGTAAGCATCTCAACACAATCCTTAGTGGTATTTGTGGGAGTGTGTTTTGAAAAATGGAGGGGAACCTGCTGATCTTCCATCTCCATCACTATAACCCAGTGAGAGACAGATCATTTACCTTCCCCTTTTCAGGTTTTCTCCACCCTAATAGTCTCACAAATATGTATCTCTTGCAATCAAGGTGTCTATATTTCCTCTTCCAAGTTTCAAAACCAACTCTTACAAAAAGACCTAATAAGTTCCAAAGATATAAGAAATATGTGAAATGTATTGCTATATCTTCAAGGGGTTTTTTTTAGTTCTAGTAGTTAAAAAAATAAAATAAATGAACCAATCAGAGAATCTCAGGCTTATAAAAGATGGAGAATTGTGAGTAAGAAGTTGTTGCAAGGGGGAGTTTTGGGACTTTCTTGATTCTCCTGCAATCAACTCATATACCCACCTGCTTCTTTTGCCTATAAGAAAAGCTAGTTTTTATTCCACATAATGGGCAATACAGAAAATGAAATTCTGCCATAGGATAGAAAGTCCAGATTTTACTGCTTTAGGACAGTTGAGGAGCAGTTATCAGAAAATGCAGAAATTGATGTGGGATGTTAACCGGCAAAGATCTTTGAGAAAATACAAACAAACAAACAAACAACTAGAAAATATAACAGAAGTATTTGTTCTTGAGTCCTTCCCTTCAAATTAATTAAAACAATAACAATTAAAAATATATAAAAACTTAACATACTCAAGTCTTCAAGAAAAATGTAAAATACCAAATAGGAACAATAAACCTTCAAGAAATCTGAAACCAGCCACATCCTTCCTTAACACTCAAGCAGGAAAAAGATTTTCTTGAAAAGAAGTGTCAGGGAAGTAAAAGCAGATTTCTGGATTTAGAGAACTGGACCTAGGTTTCTGGGCCTACCAAGGGAGAAGCAACCATCAGTGTCCCTGTAGTGACCTGTAGGCCGTCAGAGAATGCTAAAAGAAAAACATTATTAGAGCCTTTTGTGCCTTCAGTAGAAGTTCCAATGAGAGGCCCTCAGGCTGAATGTGGTCTACAGGGAGCATATTTTATTTGTCCTGATTACATTTTGATTTCTTATTTTCTATTTTTTATTAGTTACTAACTTTTATGAAGAGATTTATTAAAAAGCAGACATCCGAATTATTTGGGAAAATATAAGGTTCAGGTAACCCCCCTTTCCAAGGCTACCAACAATCATAGCTGCAGAATAGTTACAATAGCTGCTCCTTGTATATAGCAGGTGTTCTTGGATTGGACATGGTATCCACCAGGCCCACTTGAATCCTTAAAGTCTCTTGCTCAGCACCTCTAAGCATATGAGCATATAGCCCTGCTAAACATCTGGTCTCCCAGGCAAAGAGACCTCCAGCAAAGAAGCATGCAAAGAAGAAGGAGCAACCAGATGGTTTGTGAACTAAAGGGTTCCACTTTGAGTCATACCGATTTCTAAATATTAAAAATCTAGAAGAACTCTACTTCAGGCAAAGAAAATAGATTTTGTTGAGAGGATATCTGAAATAATAGACCCAAAGGAAAAGCTATGATTGTACTAACTTGCCACTCTTCCATTCTCACACTATCCTTCAGCTAAAAGTTGATACCATTCAAAGATAATCAGAAATAATTAATACAGTACCTATGCTTACATTCTGCCAAAAATGACAACAGGGTGTAATAGATAGCAGAGAGTCATCAGTATAACACTAGTTACGTAATACAACAGTTTTAAGAACAGTTACAAGACAATTTTTGCAAAAGAACAAAGGAAAGGCTAAGATAAAGGCTCCATATTAAAAAAAAATACGTAAAATAAAAGCAAAACAAAACTATGATCCTTCACACAGGGTTTATAAGGTTTTAACAAAGAGATTATTATTATTATATTTATTTATTTTTTTATTTTTTGAGTTGGAGTCTCACTCTGTCACCCAGACTGGAGTGCAGTGGCGCTCCCGGCCACCGCAGCCTCAACCTGCTGGGTTCAGGTGATCCTTCCACCTCAGCCTTCCAAGT